AACAAATGCTAAATAGATGATTTATTTTTCATTCATTCAAAAATGTGCCTCTTATACCTTAAAGAACTATAGAGAAGTTATGATCAGGTATTGAGTGAGACTCTGGGTAGATCAAGCTAAGTGAAAACAAGTACCCAGGGGAATGTCCCTAGCAGAGACCAAGGCAGTGCCTCATAGCAAAAGGTGTGTATGTTTCAGGGAAAGAGAGATGTGTCCATTTTGAACTTTGGCACCTTAGGATTTACAAAACAACTGACCCCACGATTAGGATACACAAGTAGCATTAGATCTACTTTACAGAGGAGGAAACTGAAGCTCAGAGGATTCACGAAATTTGCCTAGGATCAGCCAGCCAGTAAGTATCAGAGGTATGATTCCAATCAGCTACACCTTCTAGCAGGAATTGAGGTGGAGGGAGAAACTAACGCAGATGTTGAAGAAAGAGAGACAGTGTGACCTAGAAGCCAGTGTTGATGTTGTTCAGTCATTTTTCAGTTGTGTCCGACTCTTCACGACCCCAGCTGGGGTTTTCTTGGCAGAGATACTGGAGTGGTTTGCCATTTCCTTCTCCAGCCCATTTTACAGATGGGGAAACTGAGGCAAACAGAGTTAAGTGACTTATCCGGGGTCACACATTGAGTAAGTGTCTGAAGCCAAATTTGAACTCAGGAACATGAGTCTTCCATACTCCAGGACTGGCAATCCATCCACTACCCTAGGTAAAAGTCATTCACCTAAATTCTCTTAGCCTCAGTTTCTTCATCTTTGTAGTAGGGATAATCCTCCTTACAACCCCTAATTCACTGGGGAGTTGTTGTGGGGCAAGTGCTTTGTAAACCTTAAAGTGACAAAGAAATTGGAGTTTAATGTTCAAAATGGGACACATCCCCCCCTTATACCTGAGCCCTGAAGGTGTGTTTCTGTGCACAAGTTCTTCAAGGAGGTGATTTCAAAGGGCTGGGGGTACTCCTTTTCTCTTTCCTTGGTCTACTCCCTCAATGCCTAATAGTAACTCCCATTTCAAACTTCATTCACTAACCACAAAAGCAGAAGAATAAAGAACCTCGGTGCTGGTACTCATCTAGCCCTTTGGCCAAACCCAGAGAACGAACAAAGTTTCCCCGATTTTCTCTGGAAGGAGGCATGCCACTCAGAAGACAAATGAAAGGAGAGCAAACACCCTAATGCTGGAAAATACTCTTAGTCAGGGAACACAAATGAAGCAGCAGGGGATTCAGGCACTCAAAAAGGTAGAAAACAAGGGAAACAGGAGCAATCGTGAATCAATCAGACCTCTTCTGACAGGGAAAGCCCCTCCTTCAGGAAGCATTAAGAGTGACAGCTGCTTGGCCTCACTACATCAGGAAGAAATTATGGGCAGACCTTGAAGAGGCCAGGACTTAGAAGTGAATATGGACTGAGGACTCTGAGAGTGGCCTTGCATGCTGTCTCCCTCATTTGGATGGAAGCTCCTCGAGGGCAAGGATGTTGGTTTTTGTTTTTTTATCTTTCTTTGAATCCCCAGCCCTGACACAATGTTTGACACAGAATAATCACATGCTAAATATTGACTATATGTTGGCCACCATAAGGGCTTCTGAAGGGCATTGTGTCTTAAATAAGTTCCTCAGTTTTCAGGTGTATCTTTGTCATCTCACCTCTGTAAAAAAGTTTGAGCTAGAAAGAGGGAACCTCACCATGGATCCAACTCACCCTCTTCCCCAGGGATCTTAGCCCTTGGGGGTTTTCTGAACAAAATCCAAGCCACAGGTTGGTGTCCCAAGACAGATCCTAACCTCCTCTGGCCATGGTTGGTTCTTTTATCCTCGATGGCCTTTCAAGAAAGGGGTTTGAGAAGATCACAACACAACCGAGGCTGGTAGCCTTTTATAGTAGTCAAGGAAATTGAAAGAGGAATAGGGTTAATATAAGAGGCAATTATAGCTCAAGGGCTACAGAGAACATACATACTAGGAATGGGGTAACAGGTAGCCTCAAGATTCCACATCTTATATCTGGGAGCCTAGAACTATTGGGTAATCCAATGGACATGACCTAAGCAGTATGGTATGGGCAGCCAGGTGGCAGACTGGACAGAGTTGCAGGGCCTAGAGTCAGAAAGACTCATGTTCCTGAGTTCAAATCCGGCCTCAGATACTTTCTAGCTGTGTGACCCTGGGCAAGTCACTTAACCCTGTTTGCCTCAGTTTCCTCATCTGTAAAATGAGCTGGAGAAGGAAATGGCAAACCACTCTAGTATCTTCGCCAAAAAAAAAAAACCCAAATGGAGGCACGAAGAGTGGGGAAACAACTGAACAACAACAACAAAGCAGTATGGTGGTACAAAGAATAGAACTCCCCATCTGGAAATCTGGTTTCTAGTTCCAACTTTGCCACTAACTAACTTGCTCACTTTCTACACCATCTGGGTCCAGTGGCCAGATATGGATCAGGACAAGTGGAGATGGCCCAGGATACAGTGGGGCACCATGGTCTTTTCAAGCTAAGGTCTTTAACAGGGCTAAGTTTGAGGCAGCACCCATTCCGTAATTAAGGCTTAATAAGAAATGAGGCAAAGCCTCAAAAAAAAAAAAAAAAAAAAAAAAAAAAAAAAAAAAAAAGATCAGGGAGGAGAAGACTCTCAAGGTTTCCGGCCAAAACAGAAACAATTGTTATTTATATTCTTTCAGAGCCAATCAGGGCTCAAACAATGACCAAGTAGAGCTTGCCCTGGGACCTATTGTAGGCCAATCAATGAGAGCTATATGACCCTGGACAACTAACTTCCCTTTCTCTGGAAATGAATTTCTCGGTCAAATGAGGTTAGATTAGATGACCTCTAAGGTCATTCCCAGCACTAACATTTAAAGACCTGAATGTGGTGACACCTATAGTTTTAGTTGAAACATGGGCAGGTAGGTGGCATAGTGGATAAAGTGCCAGGCCTAGAGTCAGAAAGACTCATGTTCCTGAGTTCAAATCTGGCCTCAGACACTAACTGTGAGACCTAAGTTCCTTAGCCCTGTTTGCCTCAGTTTCCCCATCTGTAAAACGAGCTGGAGAGGGAAATGACAAACTACATCTGTATCTTTGCCACAAACTGGGGAAACAGAGTCAGAAACAACTGAACAACAAAGAAACACACAGGGGTGATTGTGGGAGGTGTCTGTTTCAATGTCTTCCAGGTAGTAAGCAGCAGTATTGAAAGTAGCAGTCATTAAGCAAAACTGAGCAGAGCGTAATTAAGCCCCCACTTCCCCACCCCCATTCTTTCTTCCCTATCTCCACCTCCCAGCCATTGTCCTCTATCCTACAGGCCACTCAACTTGCTCTTGGCAAGAGTTGGTTTTGCTTTTGTTTTTGCTTTTAGGGATTGTAATTGAGGCCTTGGAGTGGGAGCGAAAGTCCAGTTCCCCCCTCCCATTTAAACCCTTCCCATTCTAGATGAGTTCATCATAGTTAGGACTAGGGGAAAAAGGTTTGTCTTGGCCCCTTCCTATATTCCTAGATCTCCTTGGACAACATCATTAACTTGCTACCTTCTCTCTCTCACCCTGGGATCCACAGTTTCCTCCCGGAGAAGAAGGGACAAGGGCTATAACGGGGATCTGCCAGATACAGGGGAGGTATCCAGTTACCTTTTGTCTAAAATGCGTTGCTGGGCCTTAACCCACACCAGTACTTTATACTTTCTCCCAAGGTCAAGCAACGAAGAGCTAAGGGTTCCTGCTGTTTTGTCTTTTTCTTTTCTTGTTTACTTTCTTTTCTCTCTGTGCCTTTCAGGTATTCCTAGGTTCACCTCAAAGACACCATCTCACTTAGGGAGGAGAGAAAGGAGGCACACTAAGTGTAATCCCCAACTGACACACCCTCCACTAAACCAGACACACCCACCCATCCCATTTCTCCAGGAAGATGCTGGAGTAGTCTTAGAGCTAGGGTTCTTCCTCTGTCCAGGGTACACCAAGGATAGAACTTCTTCTCATATCCTTCCTCCCCCCCCACCCCATAAATTAATATGTACCTAGTACAGAGGAAGTAATTAATAAATACTTGTTGATCAGTTGATTTCTATATCCATTAAGGCCAATGCAACTCAGAAGACAGTGCAAGGGGCGGGGGGAGTAGGATGTCAAGGTGGGTGTGGGGGAAAGGTTTCTCAGAGACCCCTAATTACGTTGTGGCTGTATGCATCAGTACATATATATATATATATATACACACACACACATATATAATGTGTATATATATATATATATATGCATATAGCTACGGAGAGCTATTGTGAATACTGAGATAACATACTGTGGATTCAGCCAACATACACTACGACGATGAGAAGGGGTGGGGGTATGTATGTACAAGGATCACACTCACAGTATGGAGGAAGAGGTAGACTTCTGATATAATGGACCTGACCGACGCACCCTCTTTTTATGCCTCCCTCCCATCCAATGACCTGGCTACAAAGAGGTCGTAGGGCTGTTCACAGGTTGTTTTCCCCTGCCCAGTCCGACAGGGTAGGAAGACACAGCTCTGAGGAGGGAGATCCCAGCCCTCCCAGCCCCAGGGAGCAGAGCGGGAAGAAGGCTCCGATCAGGTTAGAGGCAGAAACTCGCCCCTTCTGCCCCAGCTCTGTTCTTCTCCAGTCTTGGGTGAACTCCAGCCCTGAAGAACTACATCACGAACTGGGGCTGGGAGTGGGGAGAGGGGGAGGATTCGGGAGCGGGGAGCAGCACGATCCCTCAGCCTGCCCCCGCCCCCCCCCCCCAGCCCCAGTCCAGTTCAATCCAGAGATAGCGGCTCTTCTCTCCACCTCTCGGTGAAGTCTCAGCTTCTGTTAGCTCTCTGATCTCGTTATCTCCCTTTATTACAGGCGCCCCAGAAAGATCTCTTCATCCCAAATGGGGGGTCTCATACTCCCGGAATGCCCAGGGGTGGATTTTGCGGCGGCCACTAAATCCATCTCTGGGTCCCCCAAACCCCACGTGCCTTCTTACCTTGGGCTCCGGCCACACGGATCCGCAGCAGGATCAGCAGGGTGCATAGCAGGAATCCTCGCATGGTGTCGGGGCGTCGAGGTGCCTCTCCAGGTTTCCCCACCTCGCCTCTTTACGTCTTATAATCCTCGTGGGGTCCGACACCCCGCGGCTTCTTCCCACGGCGAATCAATCGGGGGCCCCAGTCCTCTGGGCCGTGTACTCAAGAGAAGGAGCAGAACGGGTGACCCCCTTGTCCCTTCCAAGCTCAATCTCCCAGAAGACAAAGAGCAACAAGGGGCAGGACGGGGCTGGGAGGGTTAGCCGCCACCCCCACCCCCACCCCCCGCTGATATGAGCACTTCCTTTCCAGTCCCCTTCTCCCGCAAAAAGGCAGTGCCACCACGGCTGCTCTCCGACTGGGTGGCAGCCTGAGCTTCAGCTCCGGGAGAAATGGACAACTTTTAAGAAACTTCCTCCAGTGGCCACGTTGCCCGCCCCCCGCCCCCTCCGCCTGCCGCCCGCCCCTTGGTTCGGATTTCCAGACGAAGTCCACGCTCTTTGAAATGTTTGGCCCAGCTACCAGAGCCGGAGGGGAGGGGAGGGGAGAGGGGTTGGCGGTGGGGTGGAGAGTGAAGGTGATATTTTAGGGGTGCCGGGGTTTGGGGGTAGGTTGGAACATCTATCCAAGTCTTCAAGTTTTCTTCTCTTTCTTTAACTTTGCAGAATGCATCAAGTCGGGCAGAGACCGCTTCGATTTAAAACACACACTCTCTTTTTCTTCCTGCGCCCCCACCCCAACCCGTTTGGAATAGAGAATTCACCCGTGGATGTAACGCCGAAGGAAGCCGCCGGGAGCAAGCTCTCCTCTCCGCGCCTACCCGGCTAGCAAACTTTGCACGTTCTGCAACCCGGTGCGGAGCTCCGGCTGCACCACGTCCAGACCATCCCCGATGCTGCCAGGGGAAGTTGGTGTGGCTGAGGGGCGCGCTCCTGCCGGCACCCAGGGAACTGAGCGCTCCGCCTGGCCTGCAGACGGCCGGCTCTGCCCTCCTCCGGAGTCCCTGGCCCCAGTCGGAGAGGACAGATCCAGGGAAGAAGGCAAAGCTGCAGTCTGCGAGTCGCGCAGCCGGCTCTCCCCGGCTCCGCGCCCTCCGGAAAGACGAGAAGCACCTTTGTCCCCACCGCCTCCGAGCCGCCGCGGCCCCGGCCAACGCCGCTCGGTCACGCCGCGGAGCCACTCGTCCTATCCAGCCGCTCTCCTCCTCTTCCTTGGGCTCGGCTGCAGTGTGAGCTAGGGCTCGAGTCTCTGCCGAGCCGGGAGCGGCGGCGGGGGGGAGCCGGAGCCGGGGACGAGCGCGGCGGAGGCGGAGGGAGAGATGGAGAGGGGGGCCGAGCGCTACCCTGTGGCCACGACTGGAGAGCAACCCTGCGCGCACAGAGAAGGGAGGAAGGAGGGCCGGGGGCCCGGAGTGAGCCCCGCACAGACACAATCTGTCTCCAGTGCCACGGCCCCCGCGTCTCAGGAATCCGCTTGCGTGCAGTAGGGCACTTCGAGCCCAGGCAGAGTGCTACATCACCTCCACTCCCATTCTCTCCCTCCCAGGCGCCCTTCAGGCCCCTGGCATGCCCCCTCCCCCAATTTCAGTCCTAGTCCGTTAAGGGGGACACCCACCTCCTCACACACGCCCAGTCTGGCTTAATGCCTGGGTAAGAAATGGCATGGCGGAGACAAACCAAGGCCAACAGGGCAGGGAAAACCGAAGGGGAAGGTCAGGAGCAGAGTTCTCTTGTGCCCGTTCAAAAAGGTTTGGAAACACTTGGAAAGGGAACAGGGAAAACAGTAGATTGGGATCCATAAGGGGCGCGAGAACGTGGCATTGGAGCTTCGGTCACCTAGCGCCCCGCCCCCCATCTCCTCAGGATGAGGCAAAAGAGCCACCCTGAGTCCTCACAAAGCGTTTGCTCGCCCGGGAGCTAGGTTGGGGAGGGGGGGCGGGGTGGAGAGAAGGTCCCCTTTACCTTGTTTGGAAGTCTCAACAGGTGATGGCGCTGTAGCAGTTCCTCTGGTAGACCCGGACTGGTTCTCTGTGGCTGCCTATTTCTGTTGCAAATCAAAGGACCAGTGTGTGTCGGGGAGGCCTGGAGATACACTGCGGCTAGTCTCTGAAATCTTTGTCTTTTCTGTTCTCCGAGTATGACACCCCATCTAGTCCTACCCCTCATTCTTTGGACCCCCTTCCGTCCCTCCTCAGCTACTGAGCTATTCTAATTCCTTTCGCTGGCAAAGGGAAATTAGTCTCCACATTGAACCAGGGGTTCTTTACCTGGGGTCCGTGAATTTAAAAAAATTTTTTTTATAACTTTCAATGTAATTGGCATTCTTTGTAATCCTCTGTATTTTATATATTTAAAAGAATTATTATCAGAAGGGAACATTAGGCTTCGCCAAACTGCCAAAGAAGTCCATCACACACACACACACACACACATACACACACAAAAAACATTAGAGCTCCCGATCTAGAACATTTTGTTACTTTAATCTCAAAGGTCCTGAGTCCGGGAGTTTGGCCTCTCTGCAGTCCCTCAGTCTTCTCACTTAGACCAAATCTGGTAACTTCTCCTCAAAATTTCCACCTCATCCTGGCTGACAGCACCCAAACCCAACTCTGAGTAGTAACTGCATGAGATGAAAGTGGGGAAGAGCAAGATCATGGATGCTCCTAGCAAGTCCTCTATTCTCCCCCCAAAACACCACCTTGCCTATGGTCTCTTAGGGCTCTGACTTCAAAGGTTTCTCCCCCACCCCAGCTCAGAGATACAAACTGGCAGAGCAGTTGAACTTGAAACAGGCTCTATGTTACCAAGCACCCTTGTTGGACATGGTCCAAGTGTGTCTACCCTTATGTGTTCCAGGATACTAACTCACAGAGCCAGATTCTTGAGGTGCTTCTGTCTCAGCTGAGGGAAGAAGCAATAGAAGTATCACAGCTAAGTTTGCAGAAAAAATTAAAAGGCACAAATGTACACTTACTTGCACAAGCAAACATATAAACAACTGAGCTCCACAGTGACTTTATTCTTATATGCCTTAACTCCCACAAACAAACAACCAGAGCCCCTTAGATCTACACTACAGTTTGATAGGGGGCAGACACAGATTTTAGTCTGAAAGTGTAGGCGTTAAGCACCATGTCACACTCCAAACCCATCCATTCTTTTTCAGACATTTACCATCATAAGATGCTAGAGTAGAAAAACTTACTTGGAGATTGGATGGGAGAATGTTCATTTCAGGATCCAAGGTACTCCCAACTCAGAAGTAGAAGAGCCAGAGTTATGTCAAACCAGAAACTCTTCCAACACATTGATTGTTGTTCAGGTGCTTCATTCTTGTCCAGCTCTTCATGACCCCATTTGGAGTTTTCTTGGCAAGTATACTGGAGTGGTTTTGCCATTTCTTTCTGCAGCTCGTTTTATGGATGAGGAAACTGAGGCAAATAGGGTGAAGTGACTTGCCCAGGGTCACACAGCTAGTAAGTATCTGAGGCTGGATTTGAACCTAGGAAGATGAGTTCTAGATTTCAAGCCTAATGCTTAGAGTAGAGACATACTAAATTGTTGAACTCATCTTTATGAGTTCAAATACTGCCTCAGATGCTTCCTAGCTGTGTGACCCTGGGCAAGTCACTTCACTCTATTTACCTCAGTTTCCTCATCCGTAAAACGAGATGCAGAAAGAAATGGCAAAACCACTACAGTATCTTTGCCAAAAAAAAACCCAAACGGCACCACAGAGAGTCAGAAACAACTGAAATGACTCAACAACAACAACCACCAAGGTCATATAGGTAACAAGTGGCAAAACCGGGAATTGAACTCAGTTTTTCTGCTTCTATGTCTAGCACTGTTTTTAACTTCTAACAGAGATGTTGTTAATGGTTGGTTTCTGTAAATTTGAGCAAAGGAGGGCAAGTGCAGAGGAAACAGTTCTGGAATAAGGTATTAAAAAAATTAGTTAAGCCTCTGTCCACAAAATACCCAGAACTCCCTGCAGTTCCTACTAATTTTCATCAAAATTCACAAAACCTTTAATGCGTATGGAAGATATCACACTTTCCAGAAAGTAACACATATTGAGCTCTCTAGGAGCTGCTTCCTCATCCTCACATCCTACACACTTTATTTGTGGAGCATAATATTCATAGGATTCTATTTGTCAACGAAGTACAATTTCATGGGTGAAGAGATCATCTATTCCAACCTCCTCATTTTGTTGCTGTTCAGTCGCTTTTCAGTAGTGTCCACATTTGGGATTTTCTTGGCAAAGATAATGGAGTGGTTTGCCATTTCCTTCCCTAGCTCATTTTACAGATGAAGAAACTGAAGCAATCAGAGTTAAATGACTTACTCAGGAGCACACAGCTAGTTAGTGGCTAAGGCTGAATTTGAACTCAGGAAGATGAGTCTTTCTCACTCCAGGCCCAGAGCTCTGTGTACTATGACACCACCTAACTGCCCTCAATACAACTTACCTCTTTTATTCCTCAATACTCTCTATGCAAGCTGCCAAACCTCTTCCTTCCTGAGCTGAGTTTCAGCTCCTCAAGGCATTTTTATCCTGAACTCTACCCAGACATCTACATAGATGCCACTGGGAAAATTCACACCCCTCATACAAGCATTCCTAGCCCCTGCCCCCTAGATCACCTGATGACCACAGCAAATTCTCTCGGGAGGGTAGGTTCTATACTCTGGAGCAGTAGCCAGTGAGTAAGTGATCAGCTTGTCCCTTTTTTCTTTTGGGTGCAACAAAGTGATTCCCAATTAAATGAGCAGACACGAATGGGTTGTAACAGGTCAAATATCTCATTACATTATCTTTGTACCAAAACCTCTCCCTTTTCTGAATTTCCCTATTTCTGTCAAGGACCCACCAGTCTCCTGTCACACAAGTTGACTACTTTGTTGCCGTCTTTGACTCCTGATACTCTCTTGCCCCATATATCCAGCCAGTTGCCATATCCTGCTATTTCTAGCTCCACCTCTCTCCCATCTGTCCCCCTCTGTCTACTCACACAGCCACAACCCTAGTTCAAGCCTTTATCACCTCTCACCTAGACACATTCTTGTGGTTGTTGTTCAGTCACGTTCTACTCTTTGTGAACCTGTGGGTCACACTGTACATGGGGTTTTGCAGCAAGGATACTAGAGTGGTTTGCCATTGTCTTTTCCAGTGGATTAAGGTAAACAGAGATTAAGTGACTTGC